TTAGCCGTATCCACGGCTACCAGGATGCATTTGTTCCCTGTCCGGGTTGCCTGGCCCACAGGCCCCACTATCTCTAATGCTGCCTTGCAGAACTGCTCCTCTAGATGGGGTAGGGGTTTCCAAGCAGCTTTCCTCCCATCTAGGGCCTTCTCCAACCCTCCCCCCCCCCGGCAGGAGTCGCAGGACCGGCAGTACCGCTGCCCGGCCGCAAACACCCCCGGCCAGCAGAAGTGCTGGAGCAGCCTCAGCCGGGTGCTCCGGATCCCCCGGTGGCCCCCAACGGGGACGTCGTGGGCCAAATACAGCAGCTTGCGGCGATGCTTTCGGGGGACGACCAGCTGCTGCTGGACCCCCCCTGCCCTCACCTTCCTGGGGGGAAGCCATTCCCGGAACAGGAATCCCCACTCCCACAGGAATCTCTCCTGGCCCCCTCTCCCCAGGGTCTGAGCTGCACGGAGGCCAGCCTGGTCCTTCAGCCTCTGCAAGAAGGGGTCTGCCTGCACCTCAGCCTGGAATTCAGCCACTGGGGCAGGGATCGGGACCTGTTCCCCACCCTTGCCTAGATCCGGAGTCCCAGCCTGGCTGGACCCTGTGTCCCCTGGGATGGGGCCCTGAGCCCCCTGTAGGAAGCCCTCCCCTGGATCAGGGTCGCCAGCTACGGGAGGTAAAGCAGGGCTACTTGGGAAGCCCCGAGGGCCACAATGATACTCACTTAAGTGCGGTTGCATATACATGCAAATCCATATGCAAACAGATGCACATAGCTTCTTTCACACGGCCAGGCATGAATACAGAGCTTAAGGCAAGACTACACCACATGCAGGGTACGTCTAGACTACATGGTTCTGTCGACGGAGTCATGCAAACTTGTTTACCCGGCACAGTCAATGAAGCGGGGATTTAAATAATCCCCGCTTCATAAAAATAAACACGACCGCCGCACTGTGCCGACAATCAGCTGATCCGGCCCAGCGCGGCAGACTAGACACGGATCTGTCGGCTGGGGGAGTTTCATTGACTATGTCGGGTAAACTGGTTCACATGGCTCCGTCGACAGAGCTGTGTAGTCTAGACGCATTTAAGTCAGTTCTGCTGATATTAATAAAATGCAGCCCAGGAATGTCACCACCCCACTTGTATCAGCACAAGACCATTCTAGTGACGCCTTGTTTGTTTTGGCTCCCAGGCCCGGGCCGTATGTCGAGCGGCTGCGTGTTGGGTAGCCCTGCCTTAGGCTCTAGCAAACATAGAGGGTGTCATGAGCCTGCGTGGGCACAGCCCACCTCTTCACATGAGGAGTCTATTAGCTGCCTGCAACACAGCAGAGTAAGCTGTAAAGAAACAGGCTCCAGCGAAGCCCGTTCTGGTTCTCTAACCCCGCCTGCTCCGCCAGCCCCTCAGCCTGCAGCGGCCAACACTTGACTCCACTTCACACTCAGGGTACTCCAAGTGGAGAAATGCAGCTGGACTTCCTCCAGAGAGGGGGACATCCAGAGTCTTGGGTGCAACGCCCCAGTGACTGGATTTGCCATTGTCTCTTTGACGGGTTCGCCGACAGCACGGGGATTTCAGCCCGCTTAGATCCCTGTGTTCTAGCCTGCTCTGTGAGCAAGCGGCCCCTTTCTACCCTGCTGCCTAAAAATACCCACGTCGCCCCCGCGGGACACGCTAGAGTTTGTAGGAGGCACATGCGGGGCCATTCTGCACAGCAGCCAACGTTACAGATGAGATGTTTAATGAAAGAAATGGTCTTTCTTGCTCTCTGTGCATGCGCGCGCGCACACACGCGCACACGTACAAGCCCGCACATGCTCGCGCACGCACACATGCACACGCTCACACACACACATGCATGTGCTCACACACGCATCCACATGCACGCGCTCTCACAAACACGCACATGTGCGCACACACACACACTCACAGACACGCGCGCTCACACACATACGCTCACACACACACGCCCTCACATGCACACACACACATGCACTCATACACACACATGCGCTCACACACACACACACACACACACTCACACACGCACGCACTCACACACTCACACACACACGGATGCACACGCACACACTCACACATGCACGCGCTCACACACACACGCCCTCACATGCACACACACACATGCACTCATACACACACATGCGCTCACACACACACACACACACATGCACACGCACATTCCTTGGACCCCTCGCTGTATAAGACTCATCAGACAAAACATCCACCTGGCCGTGTTGCTGTTACCCCAACCTGTCCCACCCCCTGCTTGCAAACCCCATTGTCAAATTCTGTCCGGCTTTAGGCAGATTGCTCAGTGACTCCGTCCCTCTGCAGGACTGAGGCTGAGATGGGTTCAGCCAGAGATCCTCTTGAGACTGTCACTTGAGAGGCTGAAGCACCCCGGAGCCTGCCTGCCTGCCCTGTGGGGCACCCCACCACCCTGCCCTGCTGAGCCAGGCCCCCGGTGTCTCCCACAGCAACGGCACAGAGTCGGGGTTGCAGCCCACAGCAGAGCAGCTCAGACTGAGAGCCACCCCCTCTGGGAAGGGTCCGTCACAGCAGCCAGGTGCCCAGCCCCGGTGGGACCAGAACCCCAGATAAATCCATCTCATGCTGCAGAGAAAGCTCTGTCCCCACTAGCAACGAAAGAGAGGGATGCACAGATGCAAGGGGCTTAACCTGCAGCAGGGGAGGTTTAGGTTGGACATTAGGAAACACTTCCCAACTGTCAGGGTGGTTAAACACTGGAATAAATTGCCTAGGGGGTTGTGGAGTCTCCATCTCTGGGGATATTTAAGAACGGGTTGGACACACGCCTGTCAGGGATGGTCTAGACACTGCTGGGTCCTGCCATGAGGGCAGGGGGCTGGACTCGATGACCTCGCAAGGTCCCTTCCAGTCCTAGTGCTCTAGGATTCTGTGCTGTCTTTCCCCAGGTAACAATGATTTACACTGGGCTAATTAGCACACACCATGATTTTATTAAGTACAAGAAGTAGGATTTAAGCAGTTGCAAGTTCTAGTGGACAGATCAAAGTAAGTCACTAATCGAAAACCAAAAGACGCCAGCTAAGCCTCATGGCCCAAGAAACTTGTTACCTGCCCTTCCTTCCCCTAGACGTGCTTCTAATCATCTTTTCTCACAAGCTGGGAAGCCCCCAGCTTGGGCATGATCCTTCTCAATGTTCAGGTCCAGGTGGCTGCAGCAGACACCTTAGGTGCTAACCAGGCATGTGCATCTGGCAGCCACAAATCGTTTGGTTTCCCGCAGGTGTCTAGGTTTTGCCCAAGGGGGGACACTTTGTGTTCAGTTCAAACTTTTCTCATCTTCAATGGAAAAAAACCAGCGTCCAAAATGGGTTCCAGCCTCAGGTGACCTGTCCACAGATCTTGGCAGGACCAACCCAGGTCCTGGCTCACAGATCATTGCCCTGAGTACTGGGCCATTAAGCTCCGTGGGTACTCGTAACAGCCCTCCCTTAGCACGTCTAGAGTAGTAAACATACCTCATACTTCTACACTTCAGATTTCCAACTTCCAATACAGGAATGCTACATGCCCACAAAGATCTCACAGGGAGTATTTTGCATAAAGCATATTTATGGCCTATTCCTATTCATAAGCACATTTCCATAAAGAATAAGAGGCGCCGCGCCACAGAGGCCTTAGACCGTACATGGCTTAGTGCCCATGCTCTCTTTCCGTTCAGCAGCATGCACAGATGCAAATCACCAGTTACAGCCCGGGCAGGCTGATGGGGCTCCTCTCCCGCGTCAGAGCGCTGCTCGCAGGGACCGTCTGCATCGCCACCGGCAACGGGTCTGCAGCGCAGCACGACGCCCTGGCCCCGGCCCCACCACTAACCTGGCTAAGACAGCTCGACTCCTTTGGGTTAGCAGCCCGTGCCGCAGCATCCTCGCTGCCGTTGGCTCGCTTAAAGCCTATCCAAGTGGAAATCAAATCCCTGACGGCAGCACAGGCATCCCTCAGCTGCCAGCTGGCTCAGACGGAGCCCACGCCATTTCACTCCCTGGCGTTTAAATATTCCCGAGTCCCCTGGCAGACAGTACACTCCCATGACAGGCGTGCAGAGCTTTGCTGCGGCGAAGAGGCCAGAACACTAGGGCGATTGTTTCAGGCTGGGAGAGATAAGGGGAATGCCAGTGACTTACCATTTCATTCTCTTCTCCCTGGCTGAGCAATGCATGGTGACTCCTGGCAAACTTTTCCCCCATGAAATGGAACGGAGCGTCTCTCTGGAGTCCTCCACCTCCAGCACGGCCAGGACAGGTCACCGGGCGAGTGTCGCTTGCGTCGACTGAAGGGATTAATCAGCTCCCATGCTACCTGCACACCTCCCTTAGGACTCCACCAATATTCGGAGAGGCGGCCCCTCCCCGCCTGCAGGGCTTTCAGGTGTGTCCGCCCCTCCTGTCGCCTCTTTCCCGGCTTCCTTGCCTGAACTTGCTGCTGGGAAGGGACTTCCCACGGAGCAGGCCGGCTCAGGGGGTGGAGGGAGAGAGAAGGGAGCTCTGCGGAGTGTCTGCCATGTTCCAGTCCCAGCGCCAGTCACACAGCCAGTGCAGCTGGCAGGCAGCCGCAAGGGGAGGGCAGAAAGAGAAGGCTTCACCTTGAGAGATTATGGGATTTGTTTGGGCTGGGGAGCGTGCCTGAGAGAGAAGCAGGCCCCACGCTATCACACGCGGAGCAGCCGGCCGAAACCAGGGCCTGGTCTGATCACATCCTCTTCAGTGGGAGCACACAGCACCGGGCCCTGGCACTGCAACCCCCGGCCCCGATCAGGCAGGTCGCCCCCTAAGCTGCATGCGTCAGGGTCTAAGCACTAGGTGCAGCACTGGGCCCTGATCTTGCCGCTGGGGATCCTGGAATCCGCGGGGGGGGGGGGGGGTCCTGAGCAGCTCTGGGGGCAGCAGAGAGGCTGGGCAGAGGAAGCAGGCAGGGGCAACACAGACATTTCCCCGCTCCCTTCCCTTTGCCTCTGGGATGATTTTAATCCCCAGCCTTGCCTCTTCTAGCTCTTCCTTTGCCTTTGGACCTGCCCTGCTAGTTTTTGAACTGGGCTGCATATAGGGCTGCCTGATACTTCCACGAAAAATACCAAACGCAGCAGGGAAAAAATTAGTTAAAAAAAGGAGCAAAGTTGCTGAACAAAAAACCCGCACCAAATCCACGCCATTAAATCTCCCCACTTTGGCCCAGTCCCGTTAGGTGCGGCTGCGGGGGACTGTCCCAAGTGGCCTTCCGTGGACAAAGGCCACAGACACTGGACACCTGGCAATCCTAGGCCCATGTGGCTTTGCAAAGTCCGTCCATGGGTAACTCGCCCTCGTTTTTATGATTTGTCCTGCCCTCTGTTTTATGGGCCCTTTCCCTCTTCCTGTCTTATCCTTGTTTTTCCAGGCCGAGGCTCAGAGCCCGGGGGACGACCACGGCTTAGAAATCTGCAAGGAAGAGAGGAACTGGGCCATAGTAAAACAAGCAAACAAAACTCCTCTGTGTATCGCACTGTGGCCGGAACCTGGCAGAAGAATCCAGAGATCCACAAAATAGCTCCTACACGCTGGGGTTTTATTTTCCTCCAAGACGGCCCACGGTAACGCCAGACCCAGACATCCCCAGCACGGGGCAAGTTCTGGTCCAATGTTCTGCTGCCTGGAGTGACCACGACCAGAAGAGCCAGAAGAAGAGGGAGGTGGAGAGCCAGGGCCAGCCCCCCTGGGAATGACCGTCTGCTACCTGTGACAGAGGTAGGGTCCCAAGTGTCTGTAAATTCATGGACCATCTGTAAAAAGGAGCTAAACTCGGACTTGTCCATGAAAGCATTAAGGGTCTGTCTACACTACAATGCTATTTCAAATTAACTTAATTCAAAATAGTTAATTCAAATTAAGCTAATTGGAAATAATGCATCTATACGCAAAAACTATTTCGAAATAGTGGACCCTGAACCGAAGTTAAGGTTGGCCGGAACCAGTGCTGCAGGGCATCAGGCTAGGACTTAGTGTGTGGGGCTGCTGCCTGAGGCTAAGTGAGCTCTGTGCTTAAAGGGACCCTACCCCCACCCCGGACAGACAGTTCTCAGGGTTCCCCGCTTGCTTGTCTACCTTGACGAGGGACAGCAAAGCAGTCCTGTCTTGGAGTGCCCTGAGTGCCTGCACTTGGGACACCACAGCACTCGGCCACATGGAGCCAGAGCTGCCCCTGGGCAGGCCGGTGCATCTTGTGGGGTCGTTGCCATCAGCCCGGCTGCACTTACTGCAGGCTGCCATCCAGGGGGTCCATCGGGGGGCTGTCAGGCTCCAAGAGGCCCTGAGGGAGAGCGTCCACCCCGAGGAGCCTTCAGAGCCACCCTGGTCCTCCCCACCGGGGGCTTGTGCCCCATTCCTCCCTCACATCCTTCCACTTACCCCTACCTAGCCCCCCTTCCTGATGTTAAATAAAAGACACGTATGTTCAAAAATAGAAACTGGGTTTATTGAACAAAACTGGGGGGGGGATGGACCTCTGGGGAGACTGGGGAAAGGAGGTGGGAGAGGGGAAGAGAGAGGGTGGGAGAGGGGAGGGGGAAACCTGGGAGGAGGGAGCTGGAAGGGGGAAGCCAGGGGAAAAGGGAGAGGGGAAGCTCAGGGCTCAGGGCAGCAGGCAGACAGCAGCACATGTAGACCCCCGCCCCCCAGGTAAGTGTGGCACCCCCCCCCCCTCCGCGCCACCCCCCCCTCCCGTTTCCACTTCCAGTCCCCAAACTCCTTCCCAGAGCTTCACCCTGGCCCCCTCCTACACCCCCACTCCCCGCCCCAGGCCAGAGCCAGCACCCCTCACTCCCTCCTGCACTCACACTCCCTCCCAGAGGCTGCACCCCACCTGCAGCCCAATCCCCTGCCCCAGACCACAGCCCGCACCCCTCACCCACCCCTCACCCATCCCTCCTAGAGCCTTAGGCTGGCAGAAGGGAAGGAGTTTGAGTGGGGCAGGGGGCAGGACTCTGGGCATTGTAGGCACCCCCAACATTGCTGCCAGCTGCTGGGGGGATTGCTTGTCTCGGCCTCCAACTGTGAATTCATCATCCTCACTAGTGCCCGCACTGCAGCAGCGTTTGGGGGGCATGTGCGCAGCACCCCACCCCCGCCAGGCTCCACGTGGCCAGGGATGGGCGAGGGCCGGGGAACAGTGGCCGGGTGTTGCAGTCTCCCACAGGCTCCTGCCGGTAAGTTACAGAGCAGGGCAGTCACTTAAATATAAGAAATAATCTGCCCCCTGCTATCCTGGATTATTGACTGTCAGAAATGGGCCAGCAAAGATGGGTGGCAGCGTGGGGGCCACAGTGCAGGATCTCCCTCTGGAGGCCGCCGATGCAGCTAGTGAGTAGCGTACACTTTGGCTGTGTCTAGACTGGCCAGTTTTTCCACAAAATCATCTGCTTTTGCAGAAAAACTTGCCAGCTGTCTACACTGGCCGTTTGAATTGCCGCAAAAGCACTGACTTCCTACTGTAAGAAATCAGTGCTTCTTGAGGAAATACTATGCTGCTCCCGTTCGGGCAAAAATCTTTTTCTGAAAGACTTTTGCCCAAAAGGGCCAGTGTAGACAGCACAGTAGCGTTTTCCGCAAAAAAGCCCCGATTGTGAAAATGGTGATCGGGGCTTTTTTGCGGAAAACCGCGTCTAGATTGGCCACGGACGCTTTTCCACAAAAAGTGCTTTTGCAGAAAAGCATCCTGCCAATCTAGACGTGCTTTTCCGAACATGCTTTTAACGGCAAACTTTTCCGTTAAAAGCATTTTTGGGAAATCGTGCCAGTGTAGAGTTAGCCTAGCAGAATAACCTTGCTGTTGTGATGCACGAATAAAAACACGGAATGTTGTTCTCGTTTTGCCTCTTGAGTCATCTTTATATCTGCTCGGGTTTCGCTCCAGAGCATAGAAATCTTTCGCCCACTGCACAAGAACGTGTGGTTCACAAAGTTTGGTTGTCCATAATGTTTGTACATTAGCCGTAGAAATCATTTCCAGCAGGGGCCACCCTGCCAAGGGGGCAATTTGCTGCAACATGCGTGAAAAAATGCTTGAACTGAGTTTGTGTCTCTAGAGACCTTTGGGTTCAAGGTGATTTCTTATTGTGGGCCAGGATTGCAAGCAACTTCTCGGGGGAGCTGGGGTGTGACCCCTGGCAAGAGCTGTGGTTTTCAAGAGACTGCTGTGACCGAGTGTGAGAGGAGGGGACTGTGGGGGCAAACACTGGCAAGTATTTTTTTGGGGAGGATCTGTAGGGGGAGATCAATGCAAATTTCCGCATTGTTACACAAGAACTCGGCCTTTTGAAGTCTTGCCCTGAGGAAAGAACCGCTGCCCGCTGGTTACGCAGGCCTGGAATCGGAAGATCAAAGGCACAAGCTGCCAAAGCAAAGAGGGACCTGTTCACGCAGGTGCTGCTCTGAGGAACCCGTAAGCACGGACAAGGCCTGTGTGGGCTCTGAGGGACTGACGTTGGAGATGCTCTCTGGCACCAGCTTGTCAGCGTGCACATAGAGTCTCGCCCTGAGCTCCAGATGCCCAAATCAATGGCTTAGTCTTTAAGCCCCACAGACTCCTCGCTGGTTTTGCTGACAGACTACCAGGGCTCCCCTCTGAAGCGGGTCGATTCTTGTCTCGTTCGGGAGGTGTTTATGCTTTCACCCTGAGAACAAATGCGCTTGCGTGAAGATGGCTGCTCGGTACCACGGATCTGGGGAGAGAACGCGCTCCACAGCGCCTAGCGTTTGGGCATTATGTCTTGCTGGGGATAGCCCCGGGCGTGGAGGGGACTGTTCCACCTAGAAATACCCCAGTGAGGAGGGAGAGTCCCATGTCTCTGCCCATGGAAGGCCGTGGCTGGGGAGCTGGAAGCCTGCCAGTGGGTGCCCTTGGGAGCCCAGGGAGTGGGGAAGTGGGTGCAGCAGCTGAATCGCATTCAAACTCATTCCAGAAACATAAGAACATAAGAACGGCCGTACTGGGTCAGACCAAAGGCCCATCTAGCCCAGTAGCCTGTCTGCCCACAGGTCTGCCAGCACCAGGTGCCCCAGAGAGGGTGGACCGAAGACAATGATCAAGAGATTTGTCTCCTGCCATCCCTCTCCAGCCTCTGACAAACAGAGGCCAGGACACCATTTTATCCCCTGGCTAATAGCCTTTTATGGACCTAACCTCCATGAAATTATCTAGCTTCTCTTTAAACTCTGTTATAGTCCTAGCCTTCACAGCCTCCTCTGGCAAGGAGTTCCACAGGTTGACTATGCGCTGTGTGAAGAAGAACTTTCTTTTATTAGTTTTAAACCTGCTACCCATTAACTTTATTTGGTGTCCTCTAGTTCTGCTATTATGAGAACTAATAAATAACTTTTCTTTATCTGCCCTCTCCACACCACTCATGATTTTATAGACCTCTATCATATCTCCCCTCAGTCTCCTCTTTTCCAAACTGAAAAGTCCCAGTCGCTTTAACCTCTCCTCATATGGGACCCGTTCCAAACCCCTAATCATTTTAGTTGCCCTTTTCTGAACCCT